TGCGTAGTTCGTGTCCGGAATTCTGTGCGTCACTTCACTACTACTACTTCCATTATCATTGCATGCGCCCACTGCTGGAAATACCTGCGTGCAAGCTTGGACCCCATACTATCGCAAAGATATGGAGTGTCTAGAGAGGGTACAACCACTGGATATCAGAATGGTTACTGGACAGATAGGAAACAGCTACTCGCAGCGTCTGAAGGACCTGATACTCTTCTCGCTGTCACGCCGAAGGACTAGGGGCGACTTGATAGAAGCCTTCAAGATAGTTAAGGGGTTGTCGGGCATAGAACTGAGCAGCCCCTTCGTTCCTGCACCAGAGTGCGGCACTAGAGGACATAGTTTTAAGCTGCAAAGAGAGCACTTCAGGTTGGAGCTGAGGGCCAGGTTCTTCACAAATCGGGTGGTGCTCTTGTGGAACAGATTATCGGAAAATGTTGTAAGCTGTTCAACAGTTGTAGCCTTCAAAAGGGCCTTGGATCTGTGCTGGGATGTGGTTTTCCCGGGGCTGACCATTCGAGGGACAATAACGGAACAAGGTGAGCGGTTACTGTATTGATTTATTTCATTTCTACATATCTGGTGGATGAGGTACTGCACCTAAATATTCTGCATTTAAGAAAAAAGCAGAACGAACCTTTTACGAGCAGTGTTGGAAGCCAAGGAGACTAGCTGACAACACAACGATCTGGACGCACGGTTGGTCTCGGCCACTACTGTCCTGTGCAAACTGAACTGAACTGAATTGAACTGAACCCGAGTACTACTTCAAGACTTCAAGTCCTGTGATCTGTCCTGTCTTGTCCTGTCCTGTCCTGTCCTGTCCTGTCCTGTCCTGTCCTGTCCTGTCCTGTCCTGTCCTGTCCTGTGCTGAGTAAAACAAACGAGGGTGTACGCAGAAGTCAGCTGATTTTCCAAATTTTTTCGGATCGCTCTGTTCTCTCTTATCGTGCTGTGGAATACTATTTGCAAGTTGTATCTAACNGTTTTATCTTGAAATGTGATGCCTGTTTGGGGTATAGCAAAGAAATCGGTCAGGGTTTTTCTCAATTTCTCTTTTGGCCAGTTCTTTTCACAACCGCTTAGTGATGATCAGATAGTAGTCACTGCAAAAGGCGTGGGATGCAGAGACATATACTTTAACATAAAGGTACGTTTGAGATTCAATAAAATATTTCCCAACTAACGAACAGAAAATCAATGCTATTTTCGCGGAACGCGGCATCCCTGTTGTACTTTGCGTTGCTTACATATCAGAACTGGTCATATCGCTACCTTGGAGTGTTGAATTGAATGGCATTGATTTCGTAGTGCAAGCTTCTCCTGACGGATGCCGCCCTGCAGAAGGTTTGTTTTTTTCGTATGTGTGGTGAACCACTTGCGGTTTTCCAGTATGCTCTATTTAACACCTATTTTGACGTTATGCTTCTTCGTGCTTACAAGTTTATATTCCGATTGCATAGGTTTTCTCTGCAGTAAAATGATATACAGATGTCAGTCTTTGATGGACTAAAGCAATCAATATCGAAACATTTTGCACATGAGCAAATTTTCGTCTCGATTTTCCTTTGATTAAATTAGATTATCAATTCGGTTTACCTATCATGCAGAATAATCTCTACAATCTGGAATTCTCTGAATGATTTGGTTTTTTATATAACCGCAGCGGTAACATTAATGGAGATTTTTGGTTTCAGTGACATTCGAGGAAGATTGAATTTTTATTGCACCTGTTCGAAGCTTCTGCTTTAGCATATCTATCGATCTATCAATCTATCTATCTATCTACATATATATGCATATATATCTACATATATTGTACTGTATTGTACTGTATTCAAGCTTCAGCCAGTTATATACACGCTTTCAGCCAAAAAATAGACCACCGTTACAATTCTGGTAAAAACTGGTGAAAAAGTGGGATGTGAAATGTACAAAAATATGAGTTAATTACTAAATGCATTCGAAAGCTCAGAACTAATACTCCTTGTCGACCAGTATCCGGGCAATATAGGGTACCAAAGGGTTTCTGTATGCGGATATGCGAGACGGGATAAGTTTGTACTTGGAACGGGTGGATGGGTGGGATTTGCATGCTGAGTAAGAGCTCTGAAAACTTCGCTACTATATAGTCACCACCGCGGTTTTTCTTCCAGCTAGCCGATTCCTGCGGTGCTTCCAAGTCTTCAATGTCAAGTACAGAAATCTGTGGGAAGCTCTGATAGACCACTTGTCTCGCCCGAACGGAAAATACTACGAACCGCGATTATCTATGGCCAGCAGACGTAGAAATACAAACAACCTGACTTCGCACCTCATAATATTGTTGAATTTTGCTACAGTTTGGGATGTGACAGATTTTGATTGGATTTTTATGAGTTCATTATTGCATGTTAACAACCAAAAGCTCTTCAGTCGTTTCGGTGATCAGAAGGTAATGATGAATAACGAAATATGTTCTATGACTAAAACACCTTACATAAATTAGTAACATTGATTCGATTTACAGAAAACTATGTGAAACCCTGGTCATCATCTGCAGCTAGCTTTACTGGATCGAAAAGATTTTTCAAGCAGTAACACATTTTAATGTTCTTCCGGCTGAAGTGCTGGTCGAAGTAGTTATCCACAACGACATATTTCTGACCCGAGGTAATCTTTTTTGTTTATCTTCAGTCCAAGAGGATAATTTAAGCTAAGGTACTGAAAATCAGTATGTTCTTTACGATAAATTATCAAAACAAATTAAATCCAGCTTCTTTGATTGCTGCTAAATTCCGTGGTTTTTTTTTATTACCTTTGTGAATGCAGTCAAAGGAGTAACCCTCCACAATCCAAGTATGTACTGTACATGGGAGGGCGAAGGAAGCATTAAAGTTAGAACCAGATTTTTATTATACATTCTGAGTTAAAGATGTTATCAATTGCAGAGAGACGCGGAGAGTGGAGAGGGAATTTTGAAGTGCGAAACCTGCGGATAGTCACTCGGAACATCATTCATCATCAACATTGTACAGCGTAATAGAGTGAAGCGAACTTCACTGATCGCTGCCAAACTCATAATGCACACAAGGTAAGTGAGAATGTGTAAGGAGGACAAGGATTGAGCCTACTTTTAGGGACGGGAAAAGAAAGCAAACCTCTGTGGTCAGCACACAGAGTACACAACCCAACTGTGTATACATACAATTTCAAGCATTCTGGCCTGATAAGAAGTGACAGAATGATCGCCATTGCTGTCGGTTTGCAGCCATGACCTTCAGTGTCTCCAGCCATGCGGTTTCGGAGTCTTTTGGACCCCAACCCGGAAGACGAGAGACACCGATTCTACCTAATCGCTCTGTGCATTTCTTTATGCCTCGTCTCCACCTCAGCTTTATGTCTAAGTGCAGTAGCTAAATCAAAGCTTTTCTAAAAAAAATGATCAACCTGGATCCATCTGATGCAGAACATCTTATCTTTGTGATAGACAGTTGAAGGTCATCGCTTTGACGATGAACACCAAAATGCAATGCCTTAATATTCCATGTTTGGTGCTGGTCTACATCACTCCTTACCTAGTCCTTATGTTCCATCCAGTCACAGAAAAGGGCGAATGCGAGAGGATCAACTCTTGTCCTTCATTTTCGTAAGCCGGTTTGTGTTTTTGGCAAAATTGAACAACGTTCGTTGTGCTTTCGTGTAATGCATAATATTGATTATATTCTATTTATTCCTTTTTTGCAACCAAAACCAATTTTTCCACACAACCAATTTTTTGACTCAGTGGTATATTATCATCATTCCCGTCTAACTTGCATTCTTTTTCTTTACGCGAATAACAGACGATGCGTTGCTCAACTCAATGATTTCCAGCATGACGGCCGCTGCATTTGCGGCGGCGAAAGTAGCCGATGGTTCGAACGATTGGTTCCGGACCCATGGACGTAGTTCAGCGTCTGATGAGGACGAAGACGATGGCGAGGAAGGTGATGATGATGAGACAAATGCTATCTCAGATGGCGATTCGGGAAAATCAAGTGGCTTGATCTCACGTGTACAGCGTTTTTTTGAACGCCTGACTAAAACTGCAGAAAAAGCCAACTTCGATGGGAAAAAGTCTGACTCCATTGTTGATCAAGATTCAAAGGAGCGTGTCATCTATATGATCGACTCTTGTAAGTTTCCGGATACGCTGCGTCTTCTTGAAGTTTCACTTGCCAGCAATTAGTACAAAATAGAGGAAATAGACCTACACAACCACAGGAAACCGTAAGCCATAAGCACAATCGGCTGCTTCTGTCCCGAATAGGAATAAAATGCTAGAGGATGGGTTGTTTGGATGCCGGTTGTGGAGTTTGCATCAAGGTGTCACGATGGTGCAAATGTTTCGAGTGGCACCAGTGTTGTTATTTATACAATAATAGGGTTGTTTCTGATTAATGAAAACATGGTTCATACATTTATGCGAAATGCATTTTGACGCAACCAACTATTCAAGTTAGATTTTACAGTTCCGACTTACTGTCACCTCTATCATTGTTTCAGAACAAGAATGGAAAATTGTGTTCGAATATGTACTTTACCTGATGATCGCTAAACACAATTATCTCATGTAAGAATGCAATGGAATCATAATCATCATCATCGTACAGCGAGAACAGTGAAGTGAGCTTCACTGATCGCTGCCAAGCTCTTAATGTACACAAATCAAGTGATAAAGCACAAGATGAAAAGGGATTGGGCCTACTTGGAGGGAGGCAAAGAAAAAGAACCTCTATGTTCAACACACA